TTAGCAGAAAATAATGTTGATTGAGCATTTCGTCATTTCTTATGATACTTTCATTCAAATATACTTGTAAAAATGCCAGTGATTAGTATAAGGTAAAACTAAGGATTGTTAAAAAAACGGACAAAAAATTTTGAAGGTTAACTGTCCCGCGAGCTAAGATAATCGTGAAATTGAAAGTAGACAAGGCTATATGTCCCAGGTAGCATAAGGTACGCAGAGTAATTCCGGATACTTAAAGAAGGTACACGTTCACTTGGGCCACGGAGTGCCACTGGTGTTTTTATTCAGTCCATATCACAGTACTGAGGCAAGCCTCACATAAGTATTGACAGGGCCTCAAAAATTAGAAGGGACGGAAAAACGATTTGCAGCCTTATGTAAGTCGTACTTTCATTTTGTGATTTTATTAATCGTGTCGTTTTCAATTCCTTGTCAACGTCATAAGTTACGATATGCAGTGTATGTTTTTTTATGCTGCCATCGAAGATTCACTCTTTTTGTTTAAAATTAAATATCTTACTGCACTGGATGAAGGCAAGTAACCCCGAAAAAGTTATATATGAATTGTCGAACATACGTTCGCTTTCGATAGTTCTTATAAGGCCTTTACATTTATACGGTAATTAAGTAAATAAACTGTGCGTGTTAGTAGAAGAAAAAAGTACGGTTGTCAGGGCAGGGAGAACAACATGACAACAACATGTACAGGCAAATGGACGGAGTAACAATGGATTCGCCTCTGGGCCCACTGCTAGCAAATATATTCGTAGGCAAACTAGAAGCTGCGCAACTGGGCCATCAGATAAATAATCTGCCATACTACAACATTCACGTAGATATTTTATTCGCAGTTGCATCAGACCAAACCAACCTTCCAGCTCTAATGAGTACATTTAATCAGGCACATCCGTCTATCTAGTTTACAGTAGAAGAAGAACAATCTGAATCGCTCCCATTCCTTAATGTACTACTGAGTAAAAGGGCTGATGGGAGTGTTCAACTTCAGGTATATCGTAAGGAGACGTGGTCCGTGCAATACATCCATTTTGCTACATTGGTACCGTTAAACTTCAGACGGAATTTAGTACGATGTTTGACGGAAAGGGTGAAAAGGGTCTGCGCGGTTGACAGTATCGACGAGTAGCTAAAGATTGTTGAATGCGTGCTTTGACAAAATGGGTATCCCAGTCGATTCATCGCTAAGAACAGGGCTGAAAGGCCGACAAAACCCTCAGAAGAGAAGAAACGGATATTCCTTAGGGTTCCATTTCAAGGGGATGAAGCAAGCGAACTTCTAAGGAGGCGCCTGAGTCAAGCTGTAGCAACTGCCTTCCCAGCAGCCAACGCCCATATACTATTCTCGATTACTCCCATCCTATACGGAGAGATCAAAGACAAACTTCCCGCCCAGACCACCTCCATGTGCATATATTCATTTACGTTCTCCCGTGGGGCAGGATATATTGCTCACACGAGCCGGCGTTTATCCAAATGAATTCTCGAACGCATTTCAGTATGGTTAGAAATCAGCCCGCAATAAACCAATTCTTCAGCCAACGGCAAGCAACCGTTTACTTACGCATCATTATCTGGTGCAGAATACCGGATTCATAATCCAGAAGGGAGACTGAGAACACTGTGCTCCTGTGCCAATCCTTCCTTGTCCCGAAATACCAACATTAAGTGAGCAGCAGTTTTTCTTCCTGTGTAATAACAGTTATAAGCAAACAATAGTAAGAATGATAAGGAGTTTTTCCACTGTCAGCTGGATCCCTTATTGTATACTGTTTGACCGTGTCTGTAAACTGGCAGTCAATACAAGTGCAATGAAAAGTAGGTTTATATTGCTAATAACAGCCACTATACAGCTTTGCAAAGCATCCTACCTACAACATTTGAAATACTTCCACTGCTTGCAACAAATGGGATGTTAAAGGGCACGCATATAAAATTTCCTAGACTTAATTGAAGTGAAAAGAAAGTGCCTTCCTGGCGCTAAATAATATAAATTCCAAAATTTTTCATCTAAGTCAAGCATTCTTTTCTAAACAGCGTTGTACCGGGTTTACAGCTATTACGGAGGAAACAGACGGTCTTTGTTGAAATTGTGGCCTCACTAAACTCTGCCCTTACTTTTGTCACAGGACCGTTTTGCACTGCTCTTTCTTAGTTCAGAGTTATATTCTATGATGGCCAACTATTATTCTAAAATGTCGAATAGCCGGTGGATGTTAAATACCCTGCCTACCATATCCCTTATTGCTTCTGTGTATCTTTCCGATCACTTTAAGCACCAATGTGCACATTTCTACTGTGTAAACTCAGTACTATATCTAATTTGATAGTTTCATCTGGGCTCTTAAAATATAAACGTTTGTTTATTTTCTTTCTTTTACAAATGTGTGTGTTTGACCATCGGTTTCGACGAGGTCCACCAAGTGCACCAACATGTTGGTAAAGAAGGTGACGGTATCAGGCTTTAGTTCAAGGTGATAGAGGACGTAGTTAGCGCTTCCGCACTCTTCACCTTCACCCGGAGTCTCGAAGACTA